TGTTTTTTCACCATTCTTTAGTTTGCAGTCTTTTTTCGGTTTATAGCCACCCTTACCTTTTTATTGATGTTAATATTTGCTTGAAATACCTTTTACTGCCATTTCATTCTTATATGTGTCTTTGAGGCCCAAATGAGTGACTCGTAAGTAACAACACTTAGGTTTCATTTTGGTGTCCATTCAGCCCCACAGTGGTGTCTTTTGTTTGGAGATTCGATCTATTTAAGGTCATTATTGCCCTGGCCTGTGTGGCTCGGTTGGCTGGTCATCTCCCCGCAAACCGATCATTGATGTGATAGGTAGGTACTGACAGTTCCCATTCTGTTGTCTTCTGGCTGTTCTGTAGGTCTGTCGTTCCTGGCTTTGTATCTTGCTGTCGTATTTCGCGTTCAGATCTTTAGTATCACTGTACTTTGACTTTTTTATCATGATCTTCTGTGTAATTATTACAGGATTTTTTCCTCGTGGTTGTCATATTTATATAAAGTATCCTAAAACTCTAAAGCCATACTTCAAAGTAACAACAGCTTTATGTCAATAACGTGTCTAAGCCTAACACTCTCACTTCCATTCCCTCTCACAACTTAGGTCATTGATGTCACAGTTTACATATTTTTATATTATGTAGATAATACCAGGTTGTCGTAGTTACGGTTCTTTTCACCATGTTTGCTTGTTGGCTTTTAAACTGCAGTTGTGAGTGAATTATGTACCACCATCACCATATTACAGAATCGAACTTTGACTATATATTTACAATTGCCAGAGAGTTTTACACTTCCTTCTTATGTTTTTACAGTGTTAATTAGCATTGCCTTAGTTCCCAACAAAGGCTTCTTTTAACATTTCTTGTAAGACAGGCCCACAGCTTTTGTTTGTTCAGGAAAGTAGTCTTCACTTCTGGGCAGTTTTGCCAGGTATAAAATTGTTGGTTGACAGATTTTTTTCTCTTTCAATATTTTGAATATATCATCCCATTGTTCTTTGGCCTGGATACCTTTATGGGGTATTTCCTTCTATGTAACTTCTCTCTTTTTTTCTTGCTGCTTTCAGGATTCTCCTGGACATTTGACAACTTAATTGTATTGTATCTCAGTGTAGCCCTATTTGGTTTCAACCTGTTTGGGCTCCATGGCCTTTGTGAATCTGCATGTCCATTTTTCTCCTGAAGTATAGAAACTTCTTAGGCATTATTACTATAAATATACATTCTGTTTTTAGCCCTTTCTTCTGTCCTTCTGAAATCTCCATAGTACAGCTACAGAGTCTTTTGATTGTGTCCTATTAGTCTCATAGGTTTTCTTCAATTTTGTCACTGTTTTTTCCTTTTACCCCACTGATTGGATAATCTCAAATGGCCTTCCAGATCACTGATTTTTTTCTGCATGGTTGCATTTGCTTCTGAAGCTCTCTTCTGAACTCCTTGGTTCAGTCACGTATTTCAGCTCTAGGGCTTCTGGGGCTGGGGGCGAGGGTTTCTACTTCTTTGCGTAACATTTTTTTTTGCTCTTGAATTATTATTCTAGTTTTGCTTAGTTGTTTGTGTGTTCACATAGTTTACTAAACTTCTTTATGAGAACTACTCTGAATTCTTCCGAGTTCATAGGTCTCCATTTCTTCAGGGGCAGTTATTAGAGCTTTATTAGTTTTCTTGGTTGGTGTCATATTTGCTTCAGTTTTTGTGATTCTTGATGTCTCACACTGGTGTTGGCACATCACTGACCAAAGTGCCGGCTTCCTGCTGGGTCTGGGTGTGTGGTGCGCGGCTGAGATTCCTAAGAATGAAGCTGTCTGCTGGAGCGGAGTGAACACACTGAGGTGCTGGGAGGTACCAGCTAGAAAGCCCAGCACTGACTTAGAGGAGGGGGCGCTGGAGAGTTTGGATTGATGGCTCTTACTCAGTCCAGGGCCCTTTAACAGCCGTGGGCGCACGCAAGTGTGGGGCGGCCGAATGGGAGCAGGGTCAGTCATTGCACAGGAAGTTCACACTTGCCCTGAATCCACACGACGACCTGCTAAAACAGTAATGACGCCGTTTTCCATCCCGGATGTCTCATTTTATGACAAACACCATCTGGCCAATGAGAGGAAGCCTACTTTCCAGAGCCTTTTGCAGTCAACCTTGAACAACCTGGGTTTGAACTGTTTTGTCCCACTTCTGTGTGCACAGGGGGCTGTCACTGGGTTAAACAGTCAGCCCTCCATTTCCCTGGGTCCCATCCAGGATTTCACCAGCTGCTGAGAGCAGTCATTTCAATCCCAGCTGAGAACCTGCGGCCCCCAAGGGCGCAGCGTAGGCCCTGTTCTGTGCACCACCTCATGGGAGGGACTGGAGCATCTGCCCACTTTCATCTTTACTGGAGCCAGTCCCTGTGGTTACTTAGGAACAGCCGCAGTGACATTTGGGGGTGGTGAAAACGTGGGTTTTCAACTGCGGGGGGTCAGTGTCCCTAACACTTGTGATTCGACGGCCAGCTGTGTGTGAATTGGTCCGCCAAGCTCCAGCAACCCAGTGGCCCAAACCACCCGGGTGCCTTCGGAATCATTGAGAAACGGCATTTCATTTGTTCACTAAGAGTGTTAAATCTAGTTAATTACTTTGTAATTATTTAAATTGTCAAAAGCTTATAGTCTATATTATGATAGTGATCACATCAAACTTCCGGTTCTGCTGGGGCCAGCGGGTGGCACACTGCCCAGGCCTGCAGTTCAGACACCAGGGTAAGCACTGGAGTGAAATGCTCCGCCGGTTTGTGCCTCCAGCCCCCGGTCAGTGGGGTGGAGAAAATGCTGGCAGCTACCTCGTGGGTGAAACGGGTCAGGTGTATGAAGTGTCTGAGTGGCACCTGCTGTAAGTACCCGCCCAAGTGCTAGTTATCATCACTGTTGTCACCGTGGCCTTCTCTGATTTGCTTGGCATTTCTACACGCACTTTCTCATTGGAGCCTCGCGATAGCTCTAGGAGCCAAGACAAGTGTCATGAGTAAGGGACTCGAGAATACGGCTGTGGGCTGCCCATGGCCTCAGAGCCAGAGTGGCTACATCCCACAGCTTCCGGCTGACAACCCATCCCTCTCACGGTGTGGCGGCACCTCCAGCCGCGGTGGGTAAATAGAGAGCTGTTGTAATAGGGGTTCTCCTGCTGGGGTGCCCCCAGGAGCCATATCCTCCTGGGTTCCAGGTGAAATGAGGGGGAGACACCATGGCACTGGCTGCTGGGATCGAGGGTCACCTTAGTGACCTTGAAGGGCACACCAGCATCAGCGGCTTTTCAAAGCCCAGGTCGCTTGTGTGGGTTACCAGCTTGTCCCCGCGGTGCCTCCCAGCCGTGCTGACCGGTGGAGGAGGGGCTTGCAGAGGGGTGAGGGGATGGAACCTGTACTGAAACCTTTGTGCCAGACTGAGAGTTTTTTCTCCAAAGTGTCAGCCAGGGATTTTGACCTCTTGAGTGGGGTCTTGGCATCTGGTGACATAAAGTTCTCATTAGCCCTGAAAAAAGCCCACAAGGGTGCGAACAGTTCTCACATCAGAGCAGTAAGGGCATTTCTGAGATCCATGCTTGCCCTCCCCAGTCTGAATCTGAACAACTATCTAGCCCTGTAGGCAGTACAAACCCCAGAAAAGAGAGTTCTGTTAATGTCAGATGCCTCCTCTGTGGAGAAATGCAGAGGGGAGGAGGGCTCTGTAAGCACCACCCAGGGAAAGATGAAAGACAAGTACAAGCCACAGAGGGTCTGAAACCTCCGCCATGACTTCACAGGCCCTGGCTCTGTTTATGGGCCTTCGGCTCAAACCCTGCAGTTATTACTCAGGTTTTAATGGCAGAATACATAGTAGCCAGTGAGAGTCGAGTGCAGATAAGCCATCTAACCAAATATACAGTAGCATCACTGAATTAGAGTGTAACTGAAGAGAATTGCTTTTTGTTGTCTACCCTTCGGTACTATGTAAGAGAGTAAGTAATTCAGGGTTGGCATAGGCACAAAACATCAGTCCATTTCTTGTCCTTTGGCCCCAGGAGCTGGGATGAAGTCGCAGGATTTAACCTTTCCAGGTGCTTGTGGCTGAGCTGAGATAGGGCGGGGCGTACCCAGAGGATTTATAGGGTGTGGAATTCGGATCAGGAAAGTATTTCTGTGTTCATCCCAGTACCTCCTAAATCAGTGTCCCCCGAAAGGAGCAGAGCAGTCCCCAGCAGGTGTACTGGGAAGGTTGTCATGGCAACAGACTGGCTAGCCCAGCCCCAGACCCCAAGTGCCAACAGTGTAGGGAGAGCGAGCAAGCCGCCTCTGCCCAGGTACAGGGATGCATCAGCACAAGTGAAGCTGTCACTGGGATTCTGGCAGCTCAGCTGAAACTTATCCAAGTGCCCTTCCCCAGCTGTTGGTGACAACATCGCTGCTGAGGGCCAGCAGGTGTGGAGCAATCGCCCCAACATGCAAAGCTGCACAAAGCCCCGGAGGCTGAGGCTGCTCAGACATTTCTAGGGGAGGGTTACGCTCGCTGGTGGTGACCCAGGGACGCGCAGCGCCACCTGGAGGCCACCAAAGCCACACCCCAGCCCTTCAGGGGTGACGGGGTGAAAGTGGGATCACCTGGCATCTGTGGATCCCTTTGTGGAAGAATGTGGGAAGACAGGAAATCTGAACTTCAGGTTAATGAAAAACAAAAAGAAAATTAATCACTTTGGAAGATTTCAAAATGAGGAAAGAAAACAATGCCAGGTAACACCAGTTCTAGAAAAGACCCAGGAGGCTGCGTGGCAGCCGGGCGGGGAAGGCGGGAAGGCAGACTGGGGCTGGAGGGTGTGCGGCGTTGCCACGCGAGCTCCGGCCACGGGGTCGTGTGTCCGCCCGGCCCTGCCAGAGCATCAGTACGCGGACACCCCGAGTCCACCTCTGCCTGCCCCACCCCCACTGCCACTGTCCACCCACAGTCCAGTCCCTCCCATTTCAGCAGAAGCACGAAATGACCAGGCTGCTCTCGTGTGCTTCTTCCAGGGTTTGAGTTCTTCGAAACGAGTGCCAAGGACAACATCAACGTCAAGCAGACCTTTGAGCGCCTGGTGGACATCATCTGCGACAAGATGTCGGAGAGTCTGGAGACCGATCCGGCTGTCGCTGCCGCCAAGCCGAGCGCGAGGCTCCAGGAAAGCCCGCCGCCGCCGCCACAGCCCGGCTGTGGCTGTTAACGCCGCACACAGGCAGCTGCGCGGGCGGCGGCGCTTGGGGCAGGTGTATCGGCCGCCGTGTAGCTGCCCGAGGGCCGCTTGCAGGAGTCGCTGGTGCCCGGCTAGGACGTGTGCAGAGTTCCTGGGAGGCCCCCGGTGCTGATAGGTGGCGAACACGTGATCTTAAATTCCTAGACTCTCCATCCACAAACACCTGGTACTTGCATGTGGTTTGTTATTTGTCTTCTCGGGTCTTTACGTTTCAGATTTCTTCTCAGATTAAGCTACTGCTGGGGCCTCAGGTGTAATAAGTTCACTCCTCTGACTGGTGCGGAGGGCTGGGCTGACGCTGGTCACTGGACAGATGACGGCAGAGGAGTCGCTTCAGTTAGGAGGGGACAGGGGGAGATCTCAGGGGATCTGATGTGTGTTACTCTGAATTGAAAACCAAGTGGATACATGACTCACGTTTTCTGAGTAATCACCGCTCTCTGGCCGGTTTGCCGTGTAGGAAGTGTGTCCGTTTCTCATTGTCAGTAACAACAGGGAGACCGTTGACTGTAAAAAGACTAAAATATTGAGTTCAAGGTTCTTTCAAGTTTCCTAAGAGAGTCCATCGCCTGACTGGAGCTCGGTGTGAACGGAAATCTCAGTTGAGAGGTTCAGACGAGGAACCCCACAGGGCTGCTCCGTCCACGGAGGCCTCCGGCCGCTACACGCTGTGCCACGGGCGTTTAGGGCAACGGTGGCATGAGCAGCCGTGGAGTGCTGGCACGCGAGGTCCCCCGTCACCTTACTAGCTAGCCCCCCATAACGCGCACCACTCCCCATAATGTGCACGGGTCCCCAGCCTCGGGGGGGTGGGGCAGGAGCTGGTCCGAGCCCTTTGGCCGCAGTTCACAGGCTGCTCCCCAACCGGCCACCTTGGGCCTGCACCTGGCCGAGCTTTTACCCAAATGCAAGCTATTCGAGCAGTGCCTCAGTGGCTCCCGGGTCCTCATGTATCTTCCCCAGTCCAGCTGTCCCCAGCTCTATCTCGGGTCCCCGTGTGCAGCTTTGACACGCACTTCGGTTACGCAGAGACTCCAGAGCGGAGCCAGTGCCCCCTTGCAGGGCGCCACGGACCACCTGGGCAGAGGAGGAGGTGAGCCGTGCCAACGCCACGCCTTTGCCCAGACTCCCTGCAGCCCCGTGTGAGAGGCAGGAGGACTCTGTGTGGCCTTCTGATGGCACCGGACGAAACCCGCCGGCTGTCACCACCCAGCACTGGGGACAGAGGAGCCACGGCAAGGCGGCCAGCAGATTAAGAGGACTGTCACTTTAGGTGGACTTACCCGCTTCTTGAGTGCTTGCGTTAAAGATATTTCTCAGCTTTTCAAAAATAGAGACTCTTCCCATGAGAGTAAGTATTGGTGCGAGTTTATTAAACAGGGATGTGGGCAGGGAAACGTAAGTGTGGAAGGAGATTTGGGGGGCCAATCGCCTGCAAAGCCGGGCAGTGGGTCATGTGCACTGTTAGTGAGTCATCCAGTGAGAACACAGGGAACAGCCTCTGGATGTTCTGAGCACGGCCTGTGCTGCCTCCTGCTTTTAGCCTAAGATACACATTATTGGTAATAAATTTCTACTTCAGCAACCCCCAAGGCAGGCCTTTGCTTAATGAAGACAAGAAAACATTAATGCTGTGTTAGATCTTAATGGGCAACCAGCTTCAAAAGTCACAGGGATTCCAGGTGAAGGAAAGAGAGAGGGCGGGGCATCCGAGCTGGTCTGGGGCCCCGCTGCATCTCTAAGCCCCAGGCGGGGCCACGGCCGTTCAGCGGTGCTCACACTTGGACTCACCGCAGGGAAGTGTGGGCGGAAGCCTCTGCCACTCACGGTCTGCGCTCATGGAGGACGGGCTGTGCTGGGGACTGCAAAACAAGACAAGAAAGGCCAGGAAAGTGGAGGAGAGGGCGGAGCTTCCGCCTCTAGGAATCCTTGCCCCTGATGAACTGACAGCTATGGAACCAGCCGGCCCAGGACCAGAGGAGCGAAGGCAAGTGCTCGTGGCCCGCGATGAACCCGCCAGGCCGGGAGGGTGACTAGACGATGAGCTGCCCGGGATCCTCCCCCAGGAACATTCGGTGAACCCCACTTTCCCAACCTGCATGGAAACCAGCCAGGCGCCCGTCGTGGTGTGAGTGTCCTCGGTGGTGAGTTCGCAGAGAGGACGCCTCCGACCTGGAGCGAGTGCACACCTGGGTTCCTTCTGCAGGGCGGGTGGGGCGAGAGGGCGACCTCTGTGCCCCGCGTCATCGAGAGGTCCTGGTTAAAGTCAAATCTGACAAAAGAGGAACCAGCCTGGGGTCAAGTAAGCTTCTCTTTATTGGCATCAGGTCACATTCGTTATAAGTTACAGCACAGTAGTTCCGAGGGTCTTCAGACATTTGGCCAATGCAGCACGCCCGCGTGCACACTGAGTGTGCACACACGACACCTGTGTTCGCTCCGCCCGCCCACAGCTCGTTTGTACTAATGGCCTAACTAAACGTGTGTCCAAAAGCTTGAGACATCTGAAAATATCTGCCTGTTAGTTTGTACAATTAGACATCCATCTTTTCTCTGATGTAATTCAAGTAGTGTTTCAAGTGAACTTCTCTTTCTCTTGCCCCCGATCACCTCACGGGCCCCCAGTTACTTTCAGGAATAAACCTTGATTGTTTTGAGTAAATACTTCCAAGAAATTTGCTACATTTCTTTTGTCTCTAATGTAATTGACGAATTGGACTGGAAGTGGTTTTCAAACCGTCGTCCGCAGATCGGATCTGCACTTCAGCCTTTCGGATGTGAACGGATGTGCTGGGAGGTGCACGGCTTCCTACAACCTGCCAAGGGTGCATCCGCCGGCTGGCACCAGCCCGGGCTCCTGAGCAGAGTTGCAGTGGAGCAGTGCGTTAGCCCATTGCTGCCGCCGCCACCAAAGAGCTTCTGTGGCCTTGGGGAGCTCCTGACGGTCCTGAGTTCCTGCTTAGCTTCCCTTCAGCCCACGTCCCCTCGCTGCCTGGAAAGTAAGAGCCAAGCTTTGCATTTGGCCAGGGAAGGGTTACCACGCTTCAGTCGCAGCAGAAGGGCGAGCCCTGCGACCGTAAGTGCGCAGCATGAGTTCTACAGAATCACAGCCCGGGGTGTACGCACGAGACAGCTGCACACTCAGCAAACACGGACTCAGCGACTCCCATCCAGATGTGCCGCAGCTCTTGTGTTCAACACAGTCATTCTGTCTCAGGAACCAGTTCAAATTCCAGTTGTCACTGCACGGATGCTGAGAACAGACTTTCAGGGACACAATGTAGCACAGCCCACGGTAGCTGCACGTTCCCGAAGCAGCGTTGGCGGTGGAGCATCCCGGCCAACGGATCCGGCGATCCGTGGCTCCTGCGGACACACTGTCCCACGTGTGTCTGGCTGCCACCCATCTGTCAGCCCCTGGTGGCATCCGTGGGACTGTTTGAAACCGTTTCCAGACTCTTCCCATCCCTCTCAGGCCTGAGGTAGTTGCTACATGAGAAAGCCAGAGAACTCTTAGTTTACAGTAATGATTAAAACCTTCCTGGACCGAAAAGCCTGTGTCACAGTCTTTGCAGAGCATCGTGGTGCTCAGTCGGCTACTGCGGCTGCGACGTGTCGGGAGGGGACCCGTCTCTCTCTCTGCGTCAGAGTGTGCGTCGCGGCACCTCGGGCTCTGTGCTCCCTGTGTGTGTCCTTGGTGTGCAAGGTCGGGGCCACACGGGCAGCCAGACCGTGTGGCCTCCTGAGAGTCACAGCTCTGTGCTTCTGTCTGCCCGTATGTGACAGTTTACCAGCAAAGGGGGAAAGTCTTGTTGATGAGCCAAACAATTGGGATCAGCTTTCTAAAGTCTTTTGTGTTTTAGGTGAATTTTGACCAAAGTCAGTTACAGAGATAAACCTCTTTTATGTTCTGGAATGAATATGAAACAAATTGGGCAAAAGATGAAGTTTATGGTCAGAAAACAAAGAAGCGCCTTTATCCCTGTAGTGCACTTAGAGGCTCCGGATTCCAGAAATTCGGTTTCCCGAAGGGGCCGACACAGACTGGGGAGTTCAACTGACATTTATCGACCAGGTCTTCCTGATATTGCATAAATAAGTGTAGTTTTTCCAAAAACCTTCACAGAAATTCTTGACACTCCAGTCAAACAGTATTTCCCTTTGGGAGATTAGAATATTTACGTGTGGGTCCCCAGCAGTGTTGCCCCTCCCAGCACACACACACACACACACACACGCGCGCGCGCACACACGCACACGCCTCTGTGACGGGAATGTCGCGATGACGCGTCCTCGCTGCTGGGAGACGGGAGCTCTGTTCCGCCTGTAACTCACGTTTGTCTACAAAGTTCTGTGACATAGATTTGCCACACTGATCTGTGTGTATGCAATCATAATTAATTCCCATTAAAAAGAGGATAGAGTGAAAATAAATTTTTCAAAAGAGTCTGGATAGCCCTGGCTGGTGTGGCTCAGTGGACTGAGCTTGGGCTGCAAATCAGGGGTCGCTGGTTCGATTCCCAGTCGGGACACGTGCCTGGATTGCGGGCCAGGTCCCCAGTGGGGGCCACATGAGAGGCAACCACACACTGATGTTTCTCTCCCTGTCTTTCGCCCTCCCTTCCCCTCTCTGAAAATAAATAAACAAAATCTTTTTTAAAAAATCTAGATGAAAGATCCTTTGCCAGAACTCAAGTGTTCAGACCAGACCGTCCATCTGTTGGACGACTTAGACTTTCCACTGGCTGCTCTTTTGCTGCCTCCTGACTTTTCCCCGGTCAGTGTTTTGGAGCACGGCCCTCGCGGAGCCACAGAGCCCCGGGCAGGACAGGACGCTGAGCTTCGCCGTCTACCTCCTACCAATGCTCGTTCCGGTGGCGTTTCGACTGGACGCCGCCTGCAGGAAGGAGGTGGGGCGTCACCTGTGTGTCACCTGTGTGTCACCTGTGCGTCACCTGTGTTTACGCTTTCCTTCCGCCTGGACAACTGAGAGTTGCTGTGGCTCTATTTCTACATGAAAATATTTCCACACTCCTGTTTTTGGTGGCCATAGGTGGCTTCGGTTCACGGACGCCATTCTCAATGACACAGACAGCAGTGAGCCGCGCAGACGCCTGGCCTTTCAGGGAAGCGAGTGTGGCCGCGTCCGCCTGGTGGCCCCACGCGTGTGGTGGCGTGGCGAGGTCCGGGGCTGCTGCGGCGGCGGGATGGACGGCACACGTCGCCGCATTGTCCCCAGGGTGTGTGGCAGCAGGAGCATTGCTCGTAGCTCCCGTTGATATGTTGTTGACGTCAGACGTGATGTGATGCCGTTGGACTGTCCAAGTGTACAACTACTTAATGGTGTTTGTGGAACCGAAACGTCTTAAATGTTGCATGAAATACGTTATGAAATAGATTTTTCTATTTTCGACACCTCAGAATTGAGGGTTCATGGGCCAATATGTGCAATATTTAACGACTTACTCGGTGTATATAACTAGTGGAAGTGAATCCTGATGAGTGTGTGCGGTGCTCTGGCCGGCGCGCGGCTCGCGCAGATGATTGCCCGTAGCTGTATTTGTCTAGTGCTGCAGTTTATAGAGTAAACGGCTTGTTGGTGTCACGTGAGACTCTTCTGTGCCTACTGCAAAGTGATTTACTCCCTATAAGACCAGACATTTAGTACCTGCAAACGTACGTCAATTTTACGCTTTAGAATTGTGGATTTTGTTTTCAAGAAGGGATGGTTGTTGGTTTTTTATGTAGGAATTTTCTTGTTTAATTCAGAAGTCTCTTTTAGCCTCTCTTAAGAGGCTAATTTACATACCTAAGAAGATATATGCACATAAGAAAAAGTCATGTTTATTCTCAGAAATGTTGCTCACATGTTCTGTCTACTAGGAACTTAGACTTTTGTATTTCTATGTATACTTTATTGTGACTTGACCTTGTATTTTGTTCACAAATGTAACATTGTCAACCCTGAAAACCCTAAAATATTTATGTCCTTTTAGCTTGTAGCTAGTGTTGTAGTCACATCAATTCTCAGTTGTCCCTACCAGTGATGTAAGAGAAAGGGAAGTGGAACCCCCTCCCCACAAGGGCCGGTCAGCACAGTCACACACTCGCTCTCCAGCCTCCCTGGTCGTCCCTCCCTCAGTGGCCTAGGACTTCACTGAGATGCAAAAGCAAGAAATCCGGTGTGGCTCCCGGGTTACCAAAACCGCAGTCATTCACGTGTGTGAAGTTCAAAGTAGGTCAGCTACCTTGAACTCCTCTTAGCATTTCAGTCTTTGCGGCGAAGCGTTCATCTCGACGGCGTGCTTTGCCTCTTCACATACTGAGTGCGGAAACCAGGGTCCCTTTGGAAGAGTTAGGACTCACTCGCTCAGAGTGGAGGTGGCTGCCTGCACATAGCACGAGCCCTGCTGTTCCCTCTGCCACACTTGCCTGAAGTGGATGTGTGAGCGTGTGCCAGACGTGCTGAAGGGTTTGGGCTCCTGCTGGGGACACGTGGGCCAGTTTTGGACGAAAGCCTGAAATTCGTACTCAGCTCATCAAGCCACTGAAGGACTGAAGTGTTTAGTGCGGCTTTGTGCCAAATTTAAAAAAAATGTCAACAGGTAGCCAACGTGAGAATAATAATTCAAGAGTGTTTTACTGTTTAGTCAGACGTCACACGGTGGCTGAATACCATGTGCTTCGTGCTCAGGTCAACGACGGAAGATGGACAGGCCGGGCACCATCGGAATGCGGAGGCGGGGCAGGGCGCGGGCCTCAGGGAACAGAGGGCCTGTGAGAGTCGCAGGCGTCCAGAGTGACTCCGTCGAACAGGTCGGCCATGATCCCAGAAGGAGCTCCCTGCGAGGGGACTGTGTCCAGCAAACGAGTGGGACGGTCACAGCGCGCTCTCGTGAGCAGAGGGACGACAGAGCCCGCAGCCGTGCAGCAGCCGTCCTCCAGCGCCAAACTGGCCCCTGAGAGCCATCCAGCCGCCGCGTTTCTTTCTCTTCTTGTCCCCACGAGGACGATGAGCAGCAGCGTCGTCATATTTGCCGAGCAGCCCCAAGACATGGCCACCAAACACAAATTGCTTCAAAGCCGTGTTGGAAAAGTCAACATGCACGTTTCTCCCACGCACCAAACCGCGAGGCATCGCTCTGTCCGAAGCCTCGCAGGCAGATGTGCGCCGCAGGTGTTCCACGTTTCCCGTAAGTGTGCTGGGATGTGGGCGGATGGAGGCCGCCCTTTGTCACCGGGCACTGTGGGCTCCTCTTGAGACAGTACTGAGTAACAACAGCCTCACGCTTTCATGTAGTGGTCATGACATTTGGTTGAAGTACTGCACAGCAAATACTGTGACTCCTCTTGTGTCCACAGGCGCTCTTGTCTTAGTTTAAAGCTATAAAGTGTATTCACATTGTGAAGTTTTAATTCTCCTTCTTGAAATTAATTGTGTAAAAATAGTATGTGCTCTATTAGGTATTAAATCTGTATGTGGATTCTGTATAGAAAGTGGTTTTTGTTCTTTGGCCTTATTTTGTTTTAATTTTTGGAGATTATAATAAATATCTAAGAGAATATATTCCTGAATCTCTGAGCCTTGTCCTGATCATTTTTCGATCTCCCTTCACTTTGTATTATCTCCGTCCCAGGTGCTCGTTTCCCTTTCCTGTCCCGTTTCTCTCCCAGGTACAGCCCTGAAGGACGAGAGACCGAATACGTTCTTCCTCAGGGCCGTCGGCTTTCAACATCTGAATGTGGACTTAGGCATAAGAGTTAACTCTAATACTTTTAATCTTTTAGGTTAGGTAACTTTTTCTTCTTGAGTGCGTTCCAGAGTTACAAAGTTCTGGGTTGTAGGATCAGGAATGGCTGTTAAGCTATAGTACGAAATGGTCAGCACTGCTGTCTAAGGACCATATGCCCCTGTATCTGAGGTCTGGGAGCCAGAGATCATTCTGACTCCTCGCTGCCACGGTGCAGGAGAGAGACTGGCAACACGGGGCCCTGTGGGTGGGCCACGCGGTTGGCGTGGCTGCGGCAGCCAGCGTGTGTGACAGGGCAGCGCCCGGTGCGGGAGGGGCTCAGGGCAGGGCTCAGGGCAGGGCGCGGTGCCCGGCAGTCAGTCGATTGCAGCACGGAAGATCGCGGCACGTTGCGACATCACTGCGTGCTCTAGTTGTGCCCCCAGCTCTCTTTCTGCATATTTTGCTCCAAGTATCCCTCTCAGGGCCATCTCCAGGACTCTGCACTAAAAATAAGCCGAGTAATAAGGCCCCAGAAATATCCACACTGGGACACATGAGTCAAAATAGCTTCCTGAAAGAAACTCAGTGACTGAGAATCACCTATCTAGGTATATAAAGCAAATAATAAGCAAAGAACCAAAATCAAGGTGAAAATAATAAAGGGTCCTCCCATTATATTGTCAATAAACATTTATAGAATGTCTTTTATGTGCAAATGTTTTGGCATACATAAAAATACATACGTCTTGACCCTCAATAAAGTTGTATAATTGGGACAGAGCATAATGGGTAAGTTCATATTAATAAATAATCACAGTTTATAAATTGCATATTTCCTAATATTTGTATAACAAATAATTGTTATAAATATTGGAGATTTGTTTTATTCTAAAAAAGTGCATTGTGGGGTGGTGAGCTGCCCACAGAGGCCTCCCACCCCACCTCATATGAGGATAATTCTACCAAGACATGATCTGCTTGGGGAGGAAAGGTGGCTGGTCTCTCAAACAAGAAGGACCAGGAGCCTCTTTCTCAATGGGCTTCTATTGGGTTCAGTTTGCACAGGAGTAAAGGGTGTATTTGCAAGGCTCAATCATTGTCAGGCAGTAATGATCAAACAATAGGTAACACTCAAAGAACTACTAGGGCTTATTCTGAGTCAGGGTCAGATATCTAAAAGGCCATAAAACTTTGGGAAAACAAACTCATTCTGTGCTTGAACCCTTATCATTTAAATTGAGAGCCTTTGAAAAGCAGGTTTCACAGGATTTTATGCATTCTTTCCTAGGCCCGATCACCCCAGGAACCCACAACCCTTTCCAGCACAGGGCTGCACCACCCTCTGGATTGTTTCAGGTTTGAGTCAGGTGGGGGATTCAGGCAGCCAAAAGATCAGGAGACTTTTTACAGATAGAATGAGGACTCAGGCTATGTCAAAGCCGGGGGGTGAGGGGCCATCACCCCCTTTTTCTATTGTTCCCCAAGTCCCTGCCTGATGACTCCTCCGTGACCATGCCTGTCTCAGGTCGTCCCTCCCTTGAGAAATCTTACCCATCATTGGCTAACCAGTCATCTGCCTGGGGCTCAGCAGAATGAAGTGAAAGGGGGCAGAGGTGGTGCCCCTACAAGGAAGATAAGCTTTGTCTCTTTAGTGGTTTATGGTCCCAAGGCCTTTTACTCAGCCTTAAGCATGGGGGTGTTATATAGCTTCTGAAACCAGGCACAGCGGTTCCCAACAGCACATGAAAATGACTTTGAAATGTTATAAAACACATTTACACACACTAGTTCTCTATTCCAGATAAACTGTGGAAGGTTTTTCTCTGCTGTCATCCATTATGCACCATGGCAGTAACACCTGAGCGGTGGCCACAGGGGAAGGCTTTCTATGCCGCCGTCTAGTGGGCATCTTAGGAATAACACTTGAGTGGCACTCCCCCGTAGAAGCTCCTCTCTGTTCATACCTAGTGTGCATCTTGTGAATTACACCACTCAGGTTATCACCAAGAAGAGCTCTAGCCTGCATATTGGAAATAACATCCAAGTGGAGGTCATAAAGTAAAGCATTAGTGAAACAGTGTGCAGCCAAGATGGGGGCCCCAAATAGGGATTTGGAATGGGGTCCAGAACTTGAGGTGTCCAGGAAATATTAGGATGTCCTCACTCCTTACCCCCACAGGTGTGAGTGGGGGGAAGGGACACATGGAGCAGGAACATGCAGGGCTGTTTTGTACAGCAACAGCTTTGCAGCTAACCTCTAGGATGGTCATTTAACACATCTATAATCTTCAACTGGTTTCATAGATATGTTAAATATCTGTGGCCATGCTTTGAGCCAGGGAGAAGGGAGTAACTTCCACTCAAGATATACCTGGGGGGCAACTCCCCCTAGCTACAGTGTCTGAGCGAGAGCACTGAGTGGAGCCAATCACCCTGATGGGCTCCATGTCAGGGGACCACACCTGCCCAGACTCACTACAGCAGCCCAGTAAGGCTGGAAGGGTATGGGAGTGCTGACAAGTGTAGCCAATTGCGGGAGGAGTCGGAAATGGGGCTGCAGAGGATTGGTGTGGGGATTTAAACCCAGACATGGCAGCCATCAAGGGAAGAACCGTGGCTTTAGCCAGAGCGGAGACCCCCTCGCAGCTTTAGTAGGAGGAGAACTACATGGCTTTGGCCAGAGTGGGGTCCCTGCAGCCATGGTGAGAAGGGAGAACCACGCGGTCTTGGTAGAGTAGAGACCCCCTCACAGCTTTGCCAGGGAGAATCACATGGCTTGATCCTGGCCAACAACACAGCTAATGGTGCCAGGAGCCTGAATCTACTTCTTTTCCTGAGATACCGTACCCCAGTTTAAGACAGAGAAAGAAGGAAGGACTGCGTGCCTCTGTGGGTGTCCTAAAGGACTTTGATATTTTAATGAAGATATTAGGTCACTACTTTAAGTCTGTATAGCTTTAAATAAACATTTCCTTTCCTTTTCACAAATCTCTGGCATTGAAAGATGTCTTTCCTCTGGTGGCAGACAATGCAAACCTAATGGGCGGGGGTCCTTTTGGTAACAGTATATCGTACCCCCACCCAGCCTGGTGTGTTCTGTAATACTAGAACCTTAATAAAAGTCACAAAAAACCTCTCCTTTCATCTAGTGTGACTCTTGGGAATAAGATCTGAGTGGGTGTAACAGTGAAGAACATTTCTCCTCTGTCCTCTACTGTGAAAGTAGTTTATAACATCTGAACGTATGTCAAAAAGTTATTCTGTGCTGCCATTTGGTGTGCATCATTAACATGACATTGAAGATGGAGAGAACAGACAGAACAGAAGGAGATCTGGCAGAACAGAGAAACAAAATGAACAGAAAGAGAAGAGAAAAAAGAACAGAAGTAACAGTCAGAGAAGAAATGGGACAGAGAAAACAAAGTAAGGAGAGAACAGAGAGCATAAAGATAGGAAAGAGAGAACAGGGAGAAAACAAATTAGAGAAGGAAAAACAGAGAAAGAAGAAAACAAAAAGAATAAGAAGAGAACATAGAGCAAATAGAGAACAGAGAGAGAGCTGAGGGAACGGTGATGAGAAAGAGAAAACAGAATCAAGAGTGAAAAGGGAGAGTAGGCGGTACAGAGGGAGAAGAGAGAGGACAGAGAAAACAGGAGAACAACAAAAACAAAGAGAACAAAAGAATGAGAGAATAGCTCTTGGATTCACGGACCTTTTGTATTGTTTTTCAGACTCTTTCATTTATTTCTGCTCTGATCTATATTATTTCCTTTCTTCTACTCACTGTGGGCTTTGTTCATTGTTCTTTTTAAGTTACTTTAAGTGTAAAATTAGATTGATTATTTGAGTTTTTTTCTTGCTTTTTTGAGATAGGCCCGTAATGCTATGAATTTCTCTGTTAGGATCGCTTTCCCTGTGTCCCACAGATTTTTTGGGTTGTTGTGTCCTCATTTTCATTTGCTTCAAGTTATCTTTTGATTTCTTTCTTGATTTCTTTGTTGACTCATTCATTGTTTAATAACATGTTACTTAGCTTCCACGTCTTTGTGTGTTTTTCAGTTTTCTTCTTGTGATTGATTTCTAGTTTCATATCATTGTTGTCACAGAAGATGAAAATGCTCCGAAGCGATCAATTAAAGCCATTTGGTCTAGCGTGTGGTTCAAGGCTGCTGTCTCCTTGTCGATTTTCTGCCCGGATGATCTATCCATTGAAGTCAACAGGGTGTTAAAATCCCTGACTGTGACTGTATTGCCTTTGACCTCTCCCTTTATGTCCATCAACATCTGCTTCACATATTTAGGTGCTTGCTCCTATGTTGGGTGTGTGAATGTTTACTAGGGTTATGTCCTCTTGTTGGGTTGTCCCCTTTATCATCATGTAGTGTCCTTCTTTAAAGTCTATTTCATTGCATGTAAGTGCTGTTACCCCAGTACTTTTTTCTTTTCCATTTGCATGAAACATCCTTATCCATCTCTTTGCTTTTTGTCTGTGTGTGTCTTTCAATCTGCTGTGGGTTTCTTAGAGGCAGCACACGTAAGGGTCTGGTCTTCTCATCCATTCAGCTACCCCATGTCTTTCCACTGGAGCATTTAAGCCATTACTTTTAAGGTGATTCTCGATAGATACATATGTAGTACCATGTAATTGTTAGAATGTTTTCCTCTGTTTTTTTCTTTCTCTTTTTCTTCTTCTTAAAGCAAGCCCTTTAACATTTGTTGCAGTACTGGTTTGATGTTACTGAACTCCTTTAACTTTGTCTTGTCTGGGAAGCTCCT